ACTATGAACCCAGTGGAACTCTAGTTAGCTTCATCCAACAATTCTACAATGCAGTTGCAAGGGCTATACCCAAGTATGGTGAGCTTTTTAGAATCCACAGGAGATATGAGGAACTTGGAACAAACACTTTCAATCATGAGAATGCTTTGTTATTACACCAGGTGATGGATACTCCGAATATGACAGTCGAGCAGAGAGAGCTGCAGATGGCTGTACAGGATGCAAAGGTGTAGGTGGGGGATAATATTGGTATAGGTATTAATAAGATGAAGGATGATGGTATTGGGCAGGAGATCCAGGGATGGCAGTGGTGGTTTTGGCCGAAGAATGCTGGGCTAGCTTGAGGGTGCATGTTGTACTCAGATGTAGCACATGGGTTTTACTCTGTCAATTCATGCTGAGGGATGTCAGTGACATAACACACAACAAATCATGTATGCATACTATTGCAGTGGTGCAGATGTCTAGACAAACAGGGTTGAGGTCCCAAAATAAACTTCCCTTCAAATATGTACAGTTGTTGGAGAAAAGAGGGTGATTTCAGACAGAGTAACATTGTTGCAGTTCAGTGAATTCCTAGGCACTATCTTGTAGTAACACATCCTATGGCAAGTTAGCATATATCTACAGTTAGCTGCTAATCAAGTTGTTGATCTCACATTCAGGCTCTTGTGAGAACACATCACATCACTTTCCACTAACACGCCAAGTTCTTCCTCATGTTCATATGTGCGGTTGTTGTGGCTGGACACCTCAGATGACTGTTAGTTAGGGTTAACAATGAAATAACATTCTTGATGTGAGAACAACACAATATCTCTAAATCAATTAGCTGTGGAAGGAAAAAAATAATAGTTTGACCTTTGGTCCGCTCTTGGACTGTGTCGAGCATGGCTTGAAAGCCGATTTCATTCTTCACCATTTTCAAAGGCAAGCTGGCAGGTCTTTCAAATTTTCAATGTAAATGCAGGAGTGTAGTATTTGTTGCAGTGGTCTTCACAGTGCTAGTGACATCCTGAACAAAAGCATTGAAGAAGGTTACAATTGAGAAAATAAAAGGATTGCACTATGAAAACTTTGTAACTGGGGCTGGATTTTTTTTTGCTATGAGCTGGTTAACAAGATGAAAATATCATCACTGTCAATTCCTATTAATATATCTATGATAGGGGCATTAAAATTTTGCTTGCGGCCTGTCTTTGACACCTTAGCAGGTGCCATGGCTGGCTCACCAGAGTTGCTAACTTCCTACTGGGCAAGCTTGTTTATGAACTCAGAATTCACACTGTGAGTTGTGCATATTTGTGTTCATGTTTCTGATAAGTACAGCAAGGTAAGTTCAAAAGATTGTCATGGTTTACTATTAGAAGCAATGGTATTCAATAAGAGCTGATCAAGCTGATCATCCAAGCTCAGGCTCAAGACATAGTCCAGTCCTCCCATGTCTGATGTATCTTCAGGTTGTGATTCTAAGCCAGGAGTACCTATCCCACATAAGTTTTCCTAATTGGTACACCCCAACAAACAACAGTGAAATGTCTACTACTGTGCATGGAGCCTCATCTTATCACAAATGAAAAGTGCTAATAAATATTGAAAGCATCAGCTTCACACACTTTCTAGTCAATGTGAGGCAAAAGCACTGATAGCATGCGTGAGCGTTGGTTCTCCTCATTATTAAGTACACCGTGATCTACAACTAGACATTGCAACAGGACCCCTGCCATAGTTGGAAATGATTACCATAGGAAACCCACTGCAGTTGCTCCATCTGACACAATTCCAGCACGCACCAGAATCATTTCCAAATACAGGGAGACTTGTGCAAGATAGTCATGACTGCTTCAATGCAGAGTGTGGGTCTGAAAGTATTAGGAGTTAGTTATAAATGTCATTGACAAGTGGTAGCTCTGCTTAAACTCGCTGGTGATGCAAGACAGTTGTCTATCTGAAGGATCATGCCTGGAGCGCCACCGGACAGTACAGTTGTTCAATAGAACAGTTAATAACCAGAAGGGAAGAGGAAGGCCTTAAACACTCACTGATCTACAATGTGCCAGAAAGATACAGGAAAGTTACCTGCATTTTGAACAGGAAACAAAGCAAAATTCGACCAGGAGAGTACGTGCTAGCAAACCTCACAAAGTGAAAATTTGAGTGGCCATCACAACAGCAACCTATGCTAGAGAGCAAACCCTAGAAACACTCACCACCCTATAAAAGGCAGAGGGAGTCCTACCCCATCCAACATAATTCTAGCATACACTGGAATCATCTGCCATAATAAGGAGATGTGTGTCAAATAATTGAAACCGTGTCTATGTGCAAGAAATAAAGACAAATATGGATGGGCCTACCTTAGTGAACTAGTAGTAGATAAGGCAGTAGCACAACATCATGGATAGCAAAAGGTGAACACAAAAAAAAGCCAGCAGTCCAACAAGGACATGCATAGTATGAGGAAAATGCAAAAAAGAGCTGGCAGTTCAACAAGGACATGCATAGCATGAGGAGAAGATGACACACTGAGACAATAACTTCCAATGAGTGGACAAGAAGACAAAAACAAAAACAAAAAGAGACTCACCAAAAGGACAGACAGTAGTAGTTACAGAGCAAGATAAACAATCCAGCAGCCACTCCTCTCAGGTGTTATAGCCTGAGAGTTCCCTGCCCTTTATAAAGCAGAGGGAGCGCCACCCCACCTACCGCAACTCTTGATTATACAAGACATGTGTCCCATTACAGGAACATGCATGTTAGACAGTTGGATGAAGGAGCTGCAAAAGCAGATAACATGCTGAGACAATAACTTCTAATGAGTGGATGGGACAAAAATTAAAACAAAAGAGACTCACCAGACAGACAGACAGACAGTAGTTAACAATTAGCAAATGCAACCAAAGAGCCAGCAGTAATGCAAAAACAGAGCCAGCAGTCCAGCAAGAACATGCATAGCAAGGAGAGAACACAAAAATAGAGCTGGCAGTCTGGGAAGGAAACTTGCAATAAGTATACAAGTTGAAAACAAACACATAAGTAGACGTACCTGACAGATAGACAGTAGTTAAGACAATCCAGCAGCAACTTCCCTCAGGTGTTACAGCCTGAGAGTTCTCGGCCCTTCAAAGAGCAGAGGGAGTGCCGCCCCACCCAATGCCACTCTTGTTTACACAAGACATGTGTCCTATTACAGGAACATGTACATTGAGCAGTTGGATGGAGATGGGAGATGATATAAGGAAAGAAAGAGAAGAGAAACGAAGATCAACCATGACCAAATAAATAAAATATAATAGATACAAATAAACATTAGCAGAGCCAAAAATATATCATGTGACCAATGGCCTACAAACACAGCACACAACTATGGCCAAATATGGAAGTCAGCCTTAAGCTGACCATCTCCATACTAATCCTTATAGCATAGCACTTAAATTTCAACAACAAATAACAATATTCTATCAGTAAGGACCAGTGTAATTATCTTTTGAAAGCAAAAAAACAATAAGACCAAAAAACATGTATGGATACATTGCACAATGAAGGTACATTGGAAAAAAAACCAAAATCATGCATACTATGTAACACTCTGTAATAAGCTAGTAACAACCAATACAAGGTGCACAATTGCTGCCATTCTCACAAACATGTGACAGACTTGTGTTGAGCTTGCAAGTAATTATGTACTGCAGTACATGCAGCAAGGTTTTATATATACTATTACTGGCCTTGTTATATTTGTATCACTCAGTAGATCATTGTTTAAGTAATGTTCTATACAAGCTACTGCAACTATTGAGACAATTGTGTTTACTGGTAGTCCCTTGTCTGAGTGATGAATTTGATGCATATTTCTATGAGCCTTGTTATATTTGTATCGCTTGGCAGGCCCTTGTTTCTATCACATTCAATACATACTGCTACAAATCTTATAACATTTGTAATTCCTAATGTGCCCCTTGTATAGGTGATGAACTTTCATGCAACTTCCTACAAGCCTTGTTGTGCTTGTGCAACTCATTAGACCCTTGTTTAGCATCATGTTCAATACAAACTAATATAATGCTTGTAACAGTTGCAGTCTCTTGTATTTCTATGCATACTCCTTTCCATACCATCGCTGCAACTGGCCAAAGTATGCTGAATATATTATATCTCAACTTGATTTCCCTTCTGGATTAGCACAAGATACCCAGTGCATACTAGTCTTGAGCTTGGCATTCGGGGCCTGTACTCGCCTATGACCCTGCATGTGAGGGTCCTTGAATGCTATTACTACTGTGTGTACATGCAGATATTGGACTTGTTACAGGTTCTTGTGGGAAACAAACTAGCATTTTGGTAGCAACAGACACACAGAATAGGCTAGTAAATATTCACTGCAACCATGTATAGTTAGGGCCATATAATATTAATTTTATGCATGAAAAACATCTCAAATGTTTGATGGTACAATATACACTATTTTCCTCCGAACCATGAGCCTTACAACAAGTTTAGCTCAGAGTGAATATCCGATCTATTGTCTATTTATCAACAGCATGAACACCGGTGAGGTCACCTAGAGCTATAACAGCAGTAGAAGTTCATCAGCTCATAGACACAAAGTACAGATAATGATGCCGCTACCGATATGACACGGTAATGAATGCACTTATGTTTAATGCTTTGCTTTGACTTCTCTTTTTTCTCTGGCTGATGAAGACACAAGCCAGTACATTCTGCAGAGACTACTAAGTAAATATTGTGATTCAATAATACAACTCATGCAAGAACTATTTTTCACAGTTACCTGACATGCATGGGATTTAGTCTGAGTCATTGTTATTTCTGACTAAGCGGAATTTATTCCAAAATTAAATATACAAAAATATTCAGTTTATCTGAGTCTATCTGAGAAATAAAATGAAAATATTATCTGAACTGCAGTCTTAACCATAGAGTAAAGAAAGATTGTTTTATAATGATTTCTAGGGTATCAGGCTCATAGAAGAGCATTAGTCACCCATGCACCGAACCAGTTTGGTGCAGGTCATCATGTTTGTCAACAAAATCTAATATCAAATTACAATGCAGAGTACACTTCTATGAACACACAGGTCAGAAATAAAGTGTGATGTAAGATAGAGTACAGACTGATAAAAGACAACTACAAAGAGGTAAGTACATACATTGGGGACAAGCCAATATAAGTGTAAACTTGGAGTGGTGAGCTATAAGAAAGATATGATGCTGTCAGGCACTACAAGACAATACAAAATATGGTACTGCAGTAGGCAAATATTATACAAAGTTGAATTGGAGTTAGCGGTGTCCTCTCTTCTGGCGTGATGCACATGTCACTGTCCTCGAAGCTACCTGATATGACTTGTTATCATCTGACACCACTAGGGCAGAATGTACATTAGCTATATGCACAATTCAAATTACAGGGGAAATGAATACCATATGTGTTCTCTGCATTGCCACTATTCTTGGTCCTATCTTGTGGGCCCTGTTCTCCATTATCAGGAAAGCGCTCATTAGATTCAAAAAAACTGTCCATGTCATCCTTGCTTTCAAATGCATGAAGTCCCGCATCTATCCTAGCCCTGGAGCGCCCATGCTGCAGGAGTCCAGGATTCTCTCTATTCATAATATGGATCAGCATTAAAAAAGAAAGAGTTGAATGGTCTTATGACTTCCAATGGTTGAGTGTTTCTTGCACTCATTGCTTATTAGTACTATTGCCTTCAAACATATCGACTATTCAATCATATAATAGAACAAAATTGAAGTCTTCAATTTGCTGATGCCATTGTGTCACAGAACTAAGTTGGAAATATGCCTTAGGTTAATGATCAGTTAAAGTGCATGAATCTCACATGAGAGCTTACCTGTACGGCTGTGTATGCAATTGCTCATGGTAGTGGCAATTTCATACCATGAATTTGACCTTTTGGAGCCTTTGTGCCTTTGTGAGCAGTTGCAGAAATAGCACCCGATTGTCCAGTGAATATGTGGTGAAAGACCTGCTCAAATTGTAAAATAGTATTCAATGAACAAGAATATGAAAGACAAGCATACATGTTTGAGGTAGTATCCTCGAAGACAACCTTGATTTTTCCTGGTGAGGTCCAACATAGACTCATCATATAGATATGTGGGAAGCTTTGTGACAGTAATTGTGATCTGACCTTCCTTTACCTTATCCATAAAGTCCCTATAGCTGGTTATGTGTGAGCAAATGAATGATATTAGCATGACTGACTGGAGATTTTTGTTGAACACGTCAAGCATCCATATTAGGCACAGTAGTCGCGCAGCCTGAGGGTGGTTCCATCCACAAGTAATCTTATCATGCTGCCTGAGTAGAGGTGGGTTAAACCGGTTGGTTTTGGGGTTCCTGAGCATATATAGCAGCCCCTCTCACATCAGGCTCCCTGTATCATCAGATCGTACATCATTTGCAGTACACGTAAGCTGGCTAGATGTAAGTACAGGAACATGAATGATGAACATGATTGTGTTACCGCATGGATAAAATTGTCTAAGGCCGACAGAATATTTTTAAATCCTGATATGATGTCACTGAAGGTTGGTACAAGCTTCACAAGTTCTTTGTATTGCTTTATACACAACTCCTTCTGATGACTACACAGGCAAAATATCAGAGACTGGTTATCTTAGATTACTGTAGACTTACTTATTTAAACCTGAAGCTTTTTCGGATTGATCTGAGGTTGGCCCATGGTTCAGAAAATTCAGCTTCCATGCCCTCATACAAGACATCCTCAAGCACACTAAATGGATCGATCATGAGAGGAAACCACTGAGCTGCATGTATGTACGGTTCAATTGAACCACTAGTCTGATAGTGAGACAACATGTGCCAGTGACAATTTGAAGCTTTGAAAGTTACCAGAACTTTCTTTTATGGCTGCTTCTAATACCAGATTTCAGTTCTTTGAGCAAATCTTGAAAGTGGATTGATGTTTCTGATATGTTGGATGGTTCAGGTGTCATGATGGTGGGCCGGTGTGGGTTGATTCAATACTCAGAGCAATAGTCAACGTCAATAGCACTTAGCTCAAAGATCCAGGCCAAAACAGAAACATAAGCAAATGCCTATATGTAGTCAACTGAAGGTTCAGACCAATGGAATCCTTTGATTTAAATGTCCAGCCTGTCTCTGCACAGAGATGGTCTCAATACCTTTTCAGCTCGGAAAAAAACACTTGCCTGTCATTGGTTCAGCTTGACCTGTTTGCCTTGTTCTAGGATCTGCTTACAGCCTAGTCAGAATTGGCATTACTACAAGATGAACTCTGTTAGCCCTGAATTTGGACTCACTGGTGAGGAGGAAATGAAAATGAAAAATTCACATCATCCAAGGCTCGTGTCATATCCCATATTCCGGACCTATGTCCAACAATGTTCCCATGCCTCATCCGGACCTCCAGACCCCCTGTCCATGTTCCCAGTCCTCTATCTGTCTAGATCCCTGCACCTCTGCACATCTACATCTGGACTTCTGTATCTCTGTACATTAGACCTTTGTACCTCCACAGCTAGCCTGCATCATTCATCCTTTTTCCCATCACCCTAAGCACATTTGGTCCAATTCCTGGATCCGATATCCGGATGCCTCATCTGCTATCCACCTCTCAGGATCTGACTTATACTTCATATCTGAACCCAAACCTTAAATCAGTGTCCATCCCCTTATGGTAATCACCTGTCTCCGGTCTTCAGTTATCTCTCTTTTCATTTTGCTTAGTGATCCTTGTATGAGTTTCATCTCCCAGTTCATTTCCTTATGATCCATTTCACTTACTAATACATTTCCACATGCTCATATATAGCCTTACCTCTCTGCTTACTGATCTGCACCGACTTGCCTCCAGTATATAAACTCCTGTACTTCCTCAGTCTGAATATCATATTAGTCCTCGCACTAGATCTCACTCTAAGTCCTCATACTAGTTCTTTCCTTCTGAATATCCACCTTAGGCCTAGGGAGGAATTCCCTAGGCCAGAGCTTCGCTCCTCCGCTCCTCCGCTCATCTGATCCTCCATTCCTCCGAGTTTCTGGAAGTTCCTCCAGATATTTCCCGCGGTCCTCTGGAGGACTTTGTCCTTGCAGCCTTTCCTATCAGGACAAAACCTCCATTGTAATTTCTGAAAGTTCCTCCAGACCTTTCCCGCATTCCTCCAGAAGTTACTTACACTCATCCAGAAAGTCTTTCCTAAGTTTCCCACGCTCCTTCGGAAGTCCTTTGGACTTCCTTAGACTTTCTCTGGACATCATTCTGAAATTAAGGGCACATACTCGGGTAAGGGGCGCAGCACATGAGCTGAAGCCAAGCCTCTCAGAATCAGTCCTACCCTTTGTGCATGGTCTTAACAGCTCAGATCACCCATCACCACACTTACATAATATTGCACATCATCGAACATGCTATCGACGTCAAACATCTAAGCTGAGTTGAGTTTCCCATCATATTTTTGGGAAGAAACTGGCTAATTGTAACATAATTGCTGTAAGAATGTTCCATTGACCTCTTGCATGATGCTTCCTCTCAGCATCAGTACCCTATACCTTGAAGCTTTTGTGGCATGGCCCTCTTTAATAGTGTATGCTATATATTTTCATCTTCAATACAGTGGCTCACATGTGGAATGTCGCAAGGAACTTTCCAGCTTATTGGAACTCCATGGTGCAATGAGCACACCACCACCTACCCACCTTATTGCATTTACAGGATCATACATTCAATGTGAGAATGTGGTTAGAGCTGATGAATGCATCTTAAAGTCATAAAAATACTAATGATAAATGGACATACAATCAGTGCGGATAGATGGGACAGTCGCCTTGATCATGTCGGTGCCAGTAGTTGTGCCTGCTACAGAGCAGTTAATATAGTCATGGAGGGAGGGAGCAAGTTACTTACTGGACTCACTACTGATAGCTGCACCTGTTACTATTCCATCAGAGGATCCATTGCCTTCACCTTGCTTATCAACAGGATCTTTAGTTTCTGGAACAACATGTCATCTGCAGAAGAAATAGTAACTATGGTATATACTTACTAGTACTGGCCCTTGCATTGCCTTTATTCTTAGTTTGCAGAGTCCTAATTGTATCTGTTGTAGTAGTATGTGAGGTGGGCATGGAGTCATCAATGCTCAGACCAGATAGTTTAGAATAGGCAATGGGCCTTTGACATAACCACTGGGATTTCACTGACTTAAACAGGCTAGCATGATCATCAAAATTTGTCAATATCTGAGGCTGTGGCTTGTGTATCTGTGTGACCACAGGAACCATAGAGGTATGCAGCAGGGCCTGTTTATCTTCTTGTTCATCCTGCAGGAGTCACATTAGCTGTCTGCTCTTGAGAGTAAAACCATACATACACATAGACTTACAATCATGTTTTGATCCTCTGTGCCTTCTATGGCTGGAATCATAAGATCAACGGTATCCTTAATGTTATATAAGACACTGTCATCCTCCTTCAGTGCTTGTATGCATAGATGGGAAGAATTGATCTCCAGTTCCTGACATGAATTTCTCATCAGTGGTGTTTATTGGCAGCCACAATCTATGAATCTACATGTATCAAATTATGTAGACCTCAGATAACATTCACTGTCATTGGACTGTGGGTCGAGGATATTTCCTTTGCACCTGCCATGTGCTTGACATATGATATTAGCTTGATAATAGCAGCACGGTTGTGTCCCTCCAATTCATGGAGATCTTGTATACATACATCTATAGCATGATCATCATCTATGAGTGAGGCTGTTGTGGTTGGGGCAATATCTGATGGAATCTCAACACCATCATACCATAACCACCTCTTCCACTTCATTGTCTTTCTATCTTCTCCAATCATATTGATAGTGTTTGTGTGCTCTGCAATTACACCCTCCAGTATTTTTCAGAGGCTAGCCACTAGCAGATCATTGAAAAGATCTTCTCGCCTGGCGCACTCTTTGCTAAGGTCAAGCAATATTGCCTTGATGAATGGTTCCATATCATGCTTGCTATTCTTTGACGTGCACTCGTTCTAGTCTTAGCTTGTGACTTGCAGGGCAAGGATCCCAGGAATCACCTGCAGCTCAGCCATAAGATCCCTTCTGTGCCCCTTTCTCGACGCAATCATGTCTCACAACTTCTTCAGGTCATTCTTGCCCCAGATCCTAACCTCTCAAATTTTTCATTGATCTCCTTTTGGTCCTTGAAAGGCTTGCTCTGCTGACTACAAGCAATTGTGGTAGTTAGCTTGTTCTGGAGGTGCAGCACTATTGTCATGTGAAGTGCTCACAAGTAGGTAAACATCTGTGAAGTGAATGTTAGTACTACACAGACCATGGCTTACATCTATCAAACTGACTGCCTCCTCAACTTTTTAGGTTTAATCACCCTCAGGTCATTGTGGAGCTTTGTAAACATAACTTCTGTTTCGTTATCCATCAGATGTTTGTAAAAATAATGTGTGCGATAGTGCAACAGCAGAGGCTTGAACCAACCACTAACCTGTTATAATGGGTGAGGATAAAACAGCTGTCCTGCAATATAGGAATACTTACTTCCTCAAATGCAGCACTGTTGGATGTCAAAATGGACCACACAATGTTGAGGACGTATCTGCATAGTAGTGGAAAGGCGCCTCTTGCACACCATCTTCAGGCATCAGCCACACTGTTATTCTTGCTGTCACCCTGTCATAAAACTGAAAAATAGTATTTCATTGTGATGATTTGGTTTTTGATAGGTGCCATATGGAACACAGCTTTTTGACTAGGTAATTGGAGTAGTTGTTCAGGCTGGTGGTGTAGTTTGGAGCCTTAGTCGCAATATCCTTTAGAGGTACATATTTAACTGCTCACTGGTGTGAGTAGAGATATCATCAAAGACATCATTAAAAACAGTGGCATCTGGGTTCACCATGCTATTGTAGATCATCTGGTGCCACTCCTCCAGTTGTGTGATAGCCTTGTTGCAATCTGAACCTTCATCATATGCAGCTGCAATTGTTTTACTTACTGTTGCATAGTCTAGGAAGATGTTGGATGCAAGCAGGTGTAGTATATGACTATGCAACTGAATAAATTGGATGAACATCTGTAACAACATGTAAGGTTCAGCTGCGCATACTATACAAATGCAGCTTACCTCCATCAAAACATTGATTGATTGAGCCAGCAAAGTGATATGGAACTCTTTATGACGGTGGAAATAAGGTCCCAATGGTAGGAGATCGAGGGCAAGCATTAATACAAGTTTCTCATAGCTGAGGACTTTGGCCAACTGCATGTTTTTCTGCCTTTCAGTACTGTCGTACTAAAGGTGCAGTTCTCCCTGTGCTGCTGCAACTGCTCCTCCTCTGGTGCATTCTTGTATGCTGCCTTTACTAAACGCAAGATGCCAATTAACACCTCCTTGGTCATCTTTTTGTAATCATGCAATAACTTATTTTAGCACAAGCAGTTTGTTAAGTCATTGACATGCACTACGATTGTGTCTGTAGATATACATAGATGTGTCAGCTCTAGATAAATATGCCTCCATTACAACTGTTCTAATGGCAGGGGGGTTGTCAGTTACATCTAGCTGAGGCGATGCTGACAATACTTCACCACTGGATCTGTTCTAAGGATGAAGTGGATTGCTTGATTGCTTACCTTTATCATATATGATTATTCCCCACTTGCCCATTAAAATCAATGCACCTTGCAGCCCAGCAAGTTCATTGCAAAGGCTATTATACTCGGTGACATGCTCTTTTGTCAGTTTCTTCATCTCACTGATCTTATGATAGTATTTCTCAAGAGAGACAATCCCATGCATGATGTTCTTTGAGTATTTCTTGAGTGCAGCAACTCGATGTTGACTGGATTCTACCACAATAGCTTATGTATCCTTCAATTGCAATTGTGGCACCTCCTTGTCATTGTTGAAGTTGAGTGCAAGGTGTAAGTCACTCACTAGGCATGTTCTTGACAACATCATTGGAATGGCAGTATCTTCTTGCATCACAAGGATTCCTTCTTTCTTGAAGAATGTGATTAGCTTGTTCACCTCCCTCTTGACCTGTGGATGGTTATTATATTTGCCAAACACCAGTGACTTTTGGATCTTGAGAATATTAATATATGCCACACCCAGCCTGCACTTTGCAAGCTGCACCATCTTCTGAGTCGCCTGAGCTGGGTCATTCATTGGCACATTTGCCTCTACCAGTGTGAAGAAGTAGTAGTGACTGGCCAGCAAGAAAGCTAGAGCACTAATAAATCCAACTGAGTGTAGGTGTGCTGTCTCGACCCAAGAGGATTGCTATGAAGCACTTCCTTCAAGTATAATGCGAAGAGAGCAAATGTGGAATGGAAAGAACTAAGTTGACCTTGGAAACACAAGTCCACTGATAAGAGCGAAAGCAAGACCACAGGTCCGGTGAGTGTGCAATGCAAAATAAATGAAAGCGAGAAGATCCTAGGTAAAGAGCAGCAGGTTTCTAGGTAAGGTGTGGTTCTGCAAGTAGCAGCTAGGTATAGACGAGGTTTATGGCCGAGATATAACTAGGTATAAAATGCTAAGTCAGAAACCGAGAGCAGTTCAGATCCGCACACAGCCTAGGTAAAGAAACTTAGCGGCACATTCTCAGGGCAGTCAAGAACACGCGGGTTCAAAGTGAGAATGAACAAAGCTTGTTAATTGATCAGAGGTACTCAGAATGTCTAAGGTAACTCCACAAAACAAAGGTAGTGTCTGAGGGAAGGGAAGTATTGTACTGCATGTAGCGCGCGAGACTTTATCCTACTGCGTGAGTGTCCAGAACTCATAGGCAAGAACTATAGCAATGGAATGAGGCAAATAAGTAATATGTAATGAGACCGCGCATGGAATAAAATACATGGTTACATGTAATAAGCCTTGATATTGTTTAGTCAAACTGAGAGAAAATGAACATGCACCAATGGAGATAGGTGGACATGGAAAGGACATGGACAGAGGATGGTTCCGAGTGTGGGTGCATGCAAGTTGGCTATCGGCTGAAGAAAACTTCTAGGGGAAGACTGGAATGACATAGATCCAGCAAGTTTCTATAGACCTTGACATGAGTATGAAAAGACACTCATTCCCACCCAGCATGGGTCCAAGCGTCACACTAGGCACTTATCCAGCTTTGCATGGAAGTCATTCTCCTGCATCCATCTCTGATAAGTTGTCCTGTACTCTGGCATGATATTGTCTTTGTACATACCATTGGTCTTTCATCCACAGATGAGTTGTGTTTGTGGTGGCCCATGTTAATTGTAGCAATAGGTGTATGAGTAACCTGCAATTATGAATTCTTGGTTCAACTTATTCTGGTTTAAATTATGTCAGTTCAAGATCTTGAGTTGTTCATTAGGCAGAGCTTTTATTATGAGAGACTTAGTTGGGGGCTAAGGCACCCATGCAAAAGGTACTTCAAGATTCTGTACAATCTCAGCAGTAATATTGACAGCCTTAGAACATTGTTACTGGCTGCATGGGAGCATTTTTCAGTGTTTGCCCATAACAAGTTTGACAGCCAACAAACTTGCTATCACATCTTACTTGATTTTATCAGACTCCTGCAGGGCAAGTCTGATTGTGGATGTCAGGAATGAATGTAAGCATTTTATGTTGTTTGCCACATCTAGTGGATTACACCAGCAAGCTCAGTTGATCAAATGAAGGATGCTCAGAAATATTGCGGGGGGCACTTGAAACAAGCTTCAAGGTACTGGTGACCATAGTGTAGGAAATAATTGAGTTGTGCACCACATGATGCTGATATTGATTCTCCGACTGCTTCAACTTCTGGAACCAACCAAGCCGGTCCACCACAGCAGATCCATATTCAAATGATAAAATTTGCAGAATATATTGCTTGTCCGACTGGTTGCAAGGTTGAGACAGGTAGGTAACAGAGCAAGATATTGTACAACATACTTGGACCAACATACTGCAAGTAATTCACTCAATCTCGAATCCCCTTGCAAGTCTTCTGATGTGAGTGACTGTTTATTCAATGACAGGATGTTTCAAAAAATGCAAGGTGATATTGTGGATAATAGAGGACATCATAATAATGAGGATAGTGCTTCACATCGTGGGGCTCATTGAAAAGAGGACAGTGTCCTTCATCGAGAATGCAAGCCAAACAGCAGGGCAACTTTGAAGGAATACCCTAAACATGCATGAGCTATATGAAACAGTGAGTCAAGACAGAAATAACCTTACATATATGATATGTGTTAAGAACGTGCTCAATGGTCAGATCCGAAGGGCTTGGCTTCAGCTCATGCACTGTGCCCCTTACCCGAGTACGTGCCCCTAACTTCTGAGGGCTAATGGACAACGTCCGGAGTCCAATGCACAGGAATTCCGGTGGACATTCGGGAACAAGTGATAAGAATAATCTGGACGATGTCCAAACTAGAAGGAAACAGCGGAGGACTACCTAAGGTAGAGGCAGAGGTGGTGAGTCTATAGGAGTCGATCCTAAGACTGTCGGAGACAACGAGAAGAGACTTCAAGTCAGATGGAGGAGGGAATGAGCAGAGTTTAAGATAATATTCGAATTGAGGAAACTACAAGGACTGTACAGGGTTTATATACTACTGAGGACATAACGGAGAAACAGTCAGTGTAGTGCAAGGCTATGTGAGGCTATGGACAGAGCATGTGGTACGACTATCACTAGTCTATTGGAACTTAGTAAAATGAAGACGGAAATGAATAAGGGACGGAAAATAAAGCATACTAACTGATAAGGGAAATACTAAAGGGAAAAGGCATGGAAGATAGGAGCTGACCGGATCCGGAAATCTGGAAGTCCGGAGATGATTGTGTGATTCATCCGGGTCCAGAACGCAGGATATGACAATATGCCTGTTCGTGCTCAGACAATGACTACCATAGGAATAGAACAAAAGAGTGTCAACAGTGGTGGCTAGTGCTCACAACTTTGTTCCACTGACAAAGCTAACTACAATATTCCCATGGGTGTGTTTTCAGAGGATTGATTATTTGCATTCAACAGAACCCTATTCCACATTTGTGGAGTTGGGGACTAATCTAATAAGTGGATTGATGGCAGATCCATGAAGGAAATTTGTAACAGGTGTATACAAACATTAGCTACTGGTTTGGGGGGTAGTGTAATTGAAGCATAAAAGACGAGCCCAAGTTCAAACCAAAAGCAGAGTGGTGCCTTGCAAAGGTAAACCCATGATCAAGATACATCAAATGTGCCTAATTTGTCATTATACACACACAGATAATCAGATCACCTTGAAGTCAGACTGTCATGTGGTCTTGCACTTGTAATACTGGATAAGTTTTCCTTGGTGAGTTTTTGACAACATTTAGGCTAATATACACCATTATTCACCATAAGCTGTGATATATTTTAAGTCTTTAAGAGACACAATCAAGTTAACCCAAGTCTCAATTTAATTTTGCTGGTTAGTAACTGTCATATCCCGTATTCCGGACCTACATCCAACAATGTTCCCACGCCCCATCCGGACCTCTGGACCCCTGTCTATGTCCTTTATCTGTCCAGATGTCTATATGCCCAAATCCCTGTACCTTTGCATATCCACACATCTGGATCCGATATATGGACACCTGATTTCATATCCACTTCTCAGGATCTCTGGATCTGAGCTATGCTTCATATCCAAACCCAAACCTTAAATCAGCACTCATCCCCTTATGGTAATCATTTGTTTCCAGACATCCGGTTATCCCTATAACCGACTGTGTTTTATTTTCCGTACCTGATTCATTTCCATCTTCATTTTATTAAGTTCTGATGCACTAGTGTTAGGCATTCCACATGCTCCATCCATAGCCTCACATAGCCTTGCACTGCGCTGACTGATTCTCCGTTATGTCCTCCCTAGTATATAAACTCTGTAGAAACTCCTGTATTTCTTTAGTCTGAATATTACACATATTAGTCCTCATACTAGTTCTAGTTCTCTGACTTAGTCAATATCTATCTCAGGCCTAGGGAGGAATTCCCTAGGCTGGAGCTCCACTCCTCCGAGTTTCTGGAAGTTCCTCCAGAACTTTGCCGCGGTCCTCTGGACCTATTCTGCTTTGGACCACCTCTCATTTGATTCTCTGCGGCATAGTAGTAAGTTTATTAACAGAAATTTTCACATCCCATGGTTGACATAGTATAATTAGATGTCTCTCTCCTCATATGACCAGCGATTGGAACCCAGAATCTTCTTACTATGACTCTGATGATAATGATGACTGCATTACAAGTCAAGTTCCCTGTCTTCCTATTAGAGTCGTGCTCAGAGAGTTAAACAGATCTGAAAGGGCTTTGGCCTCAGCTTGTGCACTGTGCCCCTTACCCGAGTATGTGCCCTTTAATTTTGGATGAAGTCCAAAGGCGAGTTCTGGCAAAGTCCAGAGAAAAACTCTGGGCAAACTCTTGGGTTGGATTGCTCAATAGAGCACCAATGGACTTCCGGATGAGTGTGGGAAAGCACACTAGAACTACTTTTGGAATAAGGGGAATAATGTAAGACTACTGGAACAAGTTCCAAGTAGAATGGATGGAGAAGTTGATCACTGGACGAAGTCCAGTGCAGGATAGGAGCAAGCTCCAGAGGGGGAGGAGATCCACAAAAGTCGGAGAACATGATAGGATAGGTCTGAAGGAACAGAGGTCTGGAGGTCCAAAGGCAGGTGGAGTAGCGGAGGATCAGACAGATGGAATGGACGAGCAGAGCTCCGTGGATCTAAGGGGTAGTGTGAACTACTATAGTGGAGTAGGTCCGGAGGTTGTGTAAGTATAGTGTAGGCTACTCTGGATAAGATCCAAAATAGAAACAAACAGGATAAGACTACCATAGGTAGAGTCGGAGGTAAAATGGACAAAGACTGGAATCAGATGAAGTCCAAAAATGATTGCAGGACAAAGGGTCAAGGTTCCAGACTAGGGAATGATCCTATGGCTCAGAGCCAGAGGCTTACAAGGGCCAAAGCCCAAATACAAGAATGGAAATGGAGTTATATAGACAGGAGATAAGGAAGATACAGGATAATAAGTAATAGGGTAAACAGAAACAAAAGCAATAATAAGACTGAGGTCTGCAGGATTGTACTACAAGTTTATACATGGTAGATAGCACAACAGAAGATTAGTAAGCATAGTCTGAGGCTAT